TACCGTATATTACCGAATAGAAGCTACCCCCGAATAAAAGCTACCCCCTCGATTTTGGATTAAAAATTTGGAGGAAGTTATTATGTTTTAATAATAAAATTGGACCCGAATAGAAGCTACTCCCTCTTTTTAGTCCGAAAAAACTCTCAAAATTTTGGTAGCTTCTATTCGGTAATATACGGTACCTTAATGTCTGCAACTATACTCAATCCCAAAAAAAAAAAAAAAAAAAAAACATTTAAATCATTAAATGTTCATATTATGATTTATTACAATATGTAAATATTCTACAAATTAAAAATAGGTAATGCTTTTAATCTACAATGAACTAAAATATATTTCAAGCTACAAATTTTATATTTCATATATTGTTCCAGACATGCCCATGCAATTCATTAGTGCGACACTTAAATAGCGAGAACTGTTCATTTACATATTAACTAATAAATTTCAAACACACTAATTCTACTCTACAAGCCATTGTAACAATAGTAGTCATTTAGTAGGGCATATTACACCGTCCTGTGCGAGCGCACCACAAAGGTTGTAATGGTTCTGCATTTACACCCCTCTCGACCATTCTAAATCTCCAGTCAGTTAACCGTGCTAATGCATCTCTGTCTGGAGTTCGGATTTTTTTAGAAGTGTCATAAGGTCCTGACCATAATACTTCAGCAGCTGCAGATGAACGTGGCCATAAGAGAACCTCTAAATTTGTCCGATCAGCTTGTTCTGACCATAATAGGACCTCACCTAAATTATCGAAAAGATTAGTTAATATATGAATAAATTTTAAAAATGTTATATCCGGCTTTCAAACAAAAATAATTTTGACCTCCTATAACTAATTCAGCTTCTTGATCGGTTAATCCATCAATTGGATTGTAAGAATATATCTTTTGCCAAGTTTTAAATGGATCGCACCTACAAATGAAATTATCAACATTATGGATTTGTAGTGTAAGGCTCAGTCTGTTTCTTTTTTTATGTTTTCACAAATATCAAACTCTCATAAAAATAAATTAGAAAAGTTTATTGAACATACCAACTATTACCATTGGTATTATTTCCGAGCCATCCACCGTGCCCGCAGTCTAAATACCAAAAATCACTACTCCCTGTAACGACTCTATATCCTTTACTTACAACATTCTTAACTACATCTTTATTAGTCCACACTTGAACCAAAGTATCATTTTTCAACGTCAGATTGTGATCAACGATCATTTCTTGCCACGTTATCGGCAATTTTCCTGAATTACGAACAATTTGGTGAGTTTCGTTAATGAATTTAGCGAGAAGTGTTTCAAGTGATGAATTCGGATTCTTATTTAGGTATTCAGTGATTGATGGAGTTGTATTCCAACAATGTAAGTTTACTTCGTCTCCACCAGCATGATAATATTTGTCGGTGAAGTAGGAAGTTAATTCAGGAAGAAGTATATGAAGGAAAGTATAAGTTTGATCCAATGCAGGATTTAATTGGCCGCTTGGTGGTTCGGCGGAGAACTAAAATAATAAATAAAGTTGTTAGAATAACCTAGATTGAGTCAGTTCAACAGATATTAACTAAAAACTGTAAAACATAAATAACTACATTACTCCAATTTGGTTGTACATCTATACAAGTCATTCTGTTTAAAAATATCAAATGTTAATTTAATCGCTTTAATAAACGGGACGTGCATTCATTGAATATCATACATTTCTGGCATGCTTTCTGCGATGGAATGTGTATGACCTGGCATGTCAAATTCCGGAATAATCCTAATTCCTCTCTTAATTCAATAAAGAAATAAAATCAATCAGAGACAAATATTCAATTTTATAAACGTGATTATACTCCTTCCACGTTTAATAAAGTTTAACAATATAGACATTGTCTTTAAGGGATAACATACCAAATATGCATACTCGATAACCTTCTTAATATCATCTTTAGTATAAACCATATTTATTGGATCATAAGACCCTTTATTACTCAACTCTGGAAATGATTCACTAACTACTGGCCAACTAGTAGCATCAACAATATGCCAATGAAACACATTAAATTTATTCCAGCTCATTACATCTAATGTCTTCAAAATGTCTTTCACAGGAAAATAATTTCTTGCAGTGTCCAATAACAAACCTCGATGAGAAAATCGGGGAAAATCTTTTATATGATGTGGAGCGAAAGGCAATAATAACTTAGAGTTTTTATAATAGTAAAGTTGAGAAAATGTGTTGAGGCCATGAAGGACACCAAATATGGTTTTAGCTTTAAGATGAGCCGTTATTGGATCATTGTCGATTTGCGATTCGGGAATTGTAAGCTCATATGATTCATCGACACCTAATTCTAATTCTGAAATATCAGTAGTAACTGAAATGATCAGAACACGTAGCAGGTTTGATTTGTCTATGCTTTTTGGAACGATAGGATTAACATTTGGTGAGGTAGTATAATTTTCGAATGTTATGAACTTTAGAAGGCGTTTTTTAGCAGATTCAAGGATTTTTTTTGTTTTGGTATTGAGTAAGGAACCAGTTTCAGGAGTTTGTTTTAGTGAAAAATCTGAAGAGATTAAGAGGGTTTTTGACCCTTTTTCCCAGTATTGAGGAAGAGGCCAGAGCGCATTTACACTTGATATAATATAAAACGATAATATGATAAATTTTAGGATCATTGTCTTATGAATCGATAAAAATCTAAATTCATAAGTTAGTGCTGTTAGCTAAAACCTGTAGATTTATATATTTTAAATTTAATGTATCGGACTTATAAAAAAATTTCGGATTTGAAAAATCTAGGTTTTTATTTGGCGGCAATCAGATATATGCAGTGTCACATACTAAAATGAACCTGCCATTTATTTCTTCCGACAATTGTTTCCCCAAGTCAGGGAAACGAAATATTTGAGAAGTATTGTGGAATGACGATTCGTGCAATCATTCTACACCACGGGAATGTCTTCTATACATGGTCGAGGGGATGTATTACATGAACATGAAGGATACAATATTATTCGTGCTACTATTGAGGTAAGGTACGTATTTTATATACAAATCTTAATTTACAGTACAAATCGGCAAATCACTATATATGGCGCTGGGTGCCTGACAATAAAAATAGTATAACTTTATAAAACGTAACAATTTTTTATAGAAAGCCATTTGAAAATTTTGCTTTTTAATAAATTTACGTAGCACATTTAAAATTGAACCATATGGGCTAGGTGCTGAGAAAAGGCAAATTTTACAAAATTTTTGAGCCTAATTTAAAATTAGTCTACGTAGAGACATTTTTCACTAAAGAACAAATGCTGTTATCTTAATAAAATTTTGCAGTATAATCCTTAAAGTTTTTATTTCTTATAATTTATTATAGGGTTAGGGTACATTTTAAGACCAAGACGGTTAGATATCATAGCCCGGATGTTAGATTACACAAGGTTTTCAGGGGTTCTGAACATTTTTATTTAGTACACCTGATCCCTGTTTTTTAGTCCCATTTTTGAGATACAACAGTACTGGTAGTGACTACCAGTCAGGCCTACCGAATAATTGATTGTGGGGGCAATTAATTGCAACTTTTTGAACTCAATTATCGCTGTTTGCATATTGATGATAAAATTTGTAGATCGCTGCATACCCCAATTGTTCGATTGTATGTGATTGTATGCGATTTCTCAGCAACCATCAGATCAAATTCGATGAATTTTTTTTAATTCGAATTTTAAGAATCTATAGAATCCAAATAAAAAAAAATTCATTAAATTTGATCAGATAGTTGCTGAGATATCTTCGTTCAAAGCTTTAGGAAAAGTTTGGCGCAGCTTCTATTTTTGATCGATATTTTAAAAAAACTTTGAGCGATGATATCTCAGCAACCATCTGAACAAATTCGATGAATTTTTTTCTATTTGAATTCTGTAGATTCTTAAATTCGAATAAAAAAATTTTCGTCGAATTTGATCAGACGGTTGCTGAGAAATCGCATACAATCACGTACAATCAAACAATCGTGGTATGCAGCGATCTACAAATTTTATCATGGGTTGCATTGATTGATGGCGCAGCCACAATGTGTCAATTAATTGCAATTTTAGGTGTGATGAATCATTTGCGTGACAAATAAGAATTCACTAGTGCAATTTATTATTAAACTGTATTTGTCACATACCATGATTCATCGCACCCAAGTGGCAAATGGCAATTATTGCGGTTTGCAAAATTATGTAAATTTGAAGATCATTAAAAAAAAGTAATCACAGATTTCCGATTACTGATTTCCGATTTCTTCAACATTTTGACCTTTAGATTAGACAAAATTTGTGCAATTATTTTGTAAAAATTTTATTATTTTTATGGAAATAAAAGGTGCGTATTCATCATTTTGTAATATATTTGCAGAAATAGGAGTTGTGAATTAAAATATTTTAAGTTTTACTAATAATAAATGCGCAAATTTTGTCAAGTATAAAGTCAAAAAAATGTTGATTACTTTTTTTTTAATGATCTTCAAATTTCACATTTTGCAAACCGCAATAATTGCAATTATTCGCAATTTAATATCACAATTGTAACTAAATTAATTGTAGTATAATTTAATTGCAATCAATTATTCGGCACCCTTGCTACCAGTGGTAGTAAATAGCAAATCTCAATTTATAATATAAAAATCAATTTTCCGCAGCCCACGTAATAATTATTTATTACTGTTTTCGAAATGGTTGAAATCGGAGGTAAAAAGTTTCGCGTATACCCGTATACTGGACTACCTAGGTACGCATTTACGTACATACATTGATCAAAGTGTAATTGTCAATCATACAATTGCCAACTATGAATATACAATAGTCAATTGCATATACATCATTGTCAATTCAAATCATATATTACGTACGTACCTAGGTAATCCAGTATACGAGTATACAAAGTATACATATGCGAAACTTTTTTTTATCTCCGATTTCAACCATTTCAAAAACAGTAATAAACGCATCAACTTTTTATACAGAAGGCCTTTCAAAAAAATATTTAGCAAATTTATAGAACTAATATGCTCTACAAAGTTACTGGTCAGTTTTTTGAAAACCCTTTTATATAAAAAGTTATAGTGATTTAAAAAATTGAAACTAGACCGTATGAGGGTCGAAGCCTTGTACCACGTGACGTTTTATATGTAGATCAACCAATCAAAATCATGAAATTTGTTTACGCGAATCAACAAAAAACGCAAACGACTGTCTTGGAACATGTCAGGAAGGCAATTTAACCTATACACCTTAACACTAAACTAACCCTGACCCTAATTATAATTAAAACATGAATGTTTAATTTCACGTGCGTATGTGCTAATATAAAAAAGTTACCATATTTTCGCGTAATAACGACCATGGGCTTATCGAATTTTGGCCCAAATTAAGCCTTGCTTTTTTTGGAATCTGGAGTTTCCCCAAGGACAAGTCGATTTTCTACTAAGTGAACTTTGCTTTTACTTCTAATAAAGTTGTAGCGAAGAGGAATCAGGTCATAATTGCAGTTAAATCGTTAATATCAATTCA